AATGTCATGACAGTTGACGAAGATGTTATAACATCTTGCTCAACATCAGTGTAGAATCATGTTTTGCCAAATTTTAGTCAATCATAGAACTATGGAACTAACATTGAGGGTTAAAAAATTGAGATAGAGAAGAAAACGGTTAATGCAAATAAGCATAAGGCTAAGAGAGATATGGTAAGATTGAAGATCTATGATTTACAAATACTTTCAAGGGATACATCAAATATGAGTTCAAGACAACTACAAGCTAATGAGTTATTGCGTGACATGATTAAAGGAGATCACATGCTTAAATAATATGACTATTTATGTTGAATAGGTATTAGATTCATATTATTATTATATTGTTTAGTATATCACTAGTTATTTTTAGATTTTCATGTGTTTTTAGTACTCAAACTCAATATTATTCAAATGTCGTTTCACAAACTAGTCGTTATTCATACTCATTATTATTCAACATAGCCATTATTCAAACTAGTTGTTATTGAAACTCAATATTATTCAAATTAACCATTATTGAAATTCAATATCATTCAAACTAGTAGTTATTCAAACTTAATATTATTCAAACTAGTCGTTATTCGTAGCCATATAATACTCTTAACATGAGTAATAAGTTGCACACTCTTTTCTAACTTATCTTCCTCATAATTCAATACTAGAATTCTATTCACGTGGATCTTTCCAACCCTTCTCACCTTGAAAAAATGTTCATGAATTATATTAATGATGACATGGATGACGAACTTGTGTGTCTTTACTTTGAAAATGAAGCGCAAAAAGAAGTTGTGAGCTCTAGTATGCCTAGATGTCAAAGAAGAAATATAGAGAGGAAACATGAAGAAGGACGTGAGCGTTTATTCATTAGTATTTATCAGAAGCACCAGTGTACACATATGAGATGTTTTGTCGAAATTATCAAATGCATAAACATGTATTCCTTCGTATCGTTAAAGCTCTTGGTCAACATGATGAGTATTTTCGGCTTAAGGTTGATTCAACTGGTAGATCAAGTCTTTCACCACTACAAAAGTGCATTACTATTATTTGTATGCTAGAGTATGAAACATCTACTAATAGTGTAGATGCCTATTTGAGAATTGGCAAAACCACGACACTAAAATGTGTTGATAAGTTTACAAGAGATGTTATTAGTGTGTTTGGGTCATAACATATGTGAAAGCCAACCTTTGAAGACATCAAATGCATGCCGAAAATGGGGGAGACACGTGGCTTTACATGTATTTTTGGGAGAATTAATTGAATTCATTGGGAATGGAAATATTTCCAACTTGCTTTGGGGTAGTTAGTTCAAACAATTATAGCAATGTGTTGAACCAATATGATGTCTTCAACGATGTTATGCAAGGGTGAGCTCCTGGGGTCCAGTATTCAGTTAATGATAATGAATACAACATGAGTTATCATTTATTAGATGACATTTATCCGGAATGGGCAACATTTGTGAAAAGCATCCCAATCCCACAAGGGGACAATTGTCCAACATCAAGAAGGTGCAAGACAGAACATCAAACGAGTATTTAGAGTTCTCCAATCCCGATTTGCGATCATACATAACCCAACTCATTCTTGGAACTTAAATACACTGAAGTGTATAATGGATATGTGCATTATATTTCACAACATGATTGTTGAAGATGAACATGTCACATATGATGGAAATTTTGATTATTCTTATGAGCATCTAGGCAATAACCAGACTGCACCATCAGATGATTCTAATGATGATTTTCAGGAGTTTCTACGTAGAAGACATCATATTCGCGATAAGGAAATTCATCCACACATTCAACAAGACTTGATAGAACATATATGAAAACGTTTTGGACATGAGAATAACCACAATTAAAAATTATTTTAAATGTTTAGTATATTTTCCACATGTTTAGTATATTTTCTGCTACAATTTTGTTTTAATGGTTATGAATTTTTCAATGCATTTTCTTATAACATATTTATGTCATGTAGTGTGTTATCTTATATATTTTTATTTTTATTTTATCTATTTATTTTTGGATATTTTAATTTATTTTAAATATATGTTGTTTTCTTTTTAATACATTTTGATATAATTGAATTAATTTATTTTAATTATATATGTATATATTAATGTAAAATATAAATTTGGAGTATATTGTAAGATAAGTGAGATTCATTTTAAAACTTTAGATGAATATAGTTAGGTGATTTAAATAATTGAGAAATGTAAAATAATATATTATATTGAGTGAAGTTCATTTATACCACCAAGTAGACGACATGAATGTAGGTGTTCTAAGTATAGCTGTTAAAATGGACTATTAAACCTTAAACGGGTCGGCCCTGATGAGAATCGAGCTTTTATGCTCCAGACCAAAAAAACTCTATTGTAATATTAACTAAAAAATTATTTTTCAAGTCTGGTCTTGTATGGGCTTCTAGTTACTCAGCTCTAAACGAACTTCTTTTTAAAATTATCTTTTAGCAATGTGTTAGTTAGACATGTTTGACAGATTGAATAAGATCAAATCAAATTAATTGGATATTTAAATTTGAATCAAAATAAATCAAATCTTTTTGTATGAGATTTTTTGAAAAACAAATCAAAGCAGAATCCTCTACAAATTTGGACGTGATCTCAAATTAAATGTCCATTAGAGAAAATTTCAGAGGCTGCATTTCTATAAGGAAACTCAAACCTAACGTTTAAAGGGTGTGCAAGTAATGAAGATTTTTATGTTAGGGTTTTTATTTGGAGTCTTTTGTTTGTGTTGATGTTTGTGCCCCACTCCAACATCTGCATTCATATCTAAAAGCATAAAGTTGGTTTGTTAGTTGAGTTGTAGCTCAACAATTAAATTGATCTGTTTATCAAAAATATTTTGTACTAATTCTATTGAGAGTGAATTTCCTTTCTTAGGTTAGAAACACCCAAACTCTTTATTTTTTGTATGATTTATTATTTGTTTTTTATTATTTATCAAATCTGGTGTAAGATATTGAACACGCTAAATTTTTTTAAATTTATATTTATGTGGATTTAACGGGCTATCTGGAGCCCATCTAGACTAATCATAATGGGCAGTGGACATTTTAAGACCAGATTAAAAAAAGGTTTAAAAAATATGAATTCTAATTTTTAAGACAAAACCTATGACTTTTGGATTTGGAAAATTGATCATTTGAACTAGGGTTGTATACATGGGTTGGGTTAACCCACAAAATCCGGTAAAATCCACTCAAAAAATCTATAAAAAGTGGAGTGGCCTGGGTAATTGGCTGGATTTGAGTTTAAAAACTAAAAAACCATTAAAAAAAATCGGGTTTTAGATAAAATCGAACCCAAACCCAAAATACTCATTGATCCACTAATCAAATATTTATTGTTACAATTTTAATAATTTTGATGAATATTAACTTAGTTGTTTCAATTTTAGTCTCTTAACATACTATTTTAGTGAACCATTACTTTAACTAATTTTGAATGTTTTACTCTTTAATTATTTTGATGCTAATATAATTTTATGTAATCCAACTTTAGTTGATTGCTAGTATTTTTTAATTAACTGATGATATTATTTATTACATTATGATGCTAGAAAAGAGTAAAAATAGATTATCTAATTATTTTAAGAAGATAAAAATGTTTAGTAATTTTTATGAAAAAAATATGATGATTCATTATTTAGTTATTTAATAGAAAAATTATTTGAACAATCCACTATCCAATCCATCTCAATCCAAAAAATAGTGAATTTGTCTAAACCGATCCATTAGTGTAGCGGATGTTTATTTTACCTTACCCAAAACTGCCCACATACACCCTTAATTTAAACTAATATGCTTTGACGTCTCTAGCTTTAAGTAGAGTAATACTACCTCCGATTCTATTTATAAGGATTTTTTTAAAAAAAAAATTAAGACCTAAATGCATTTTTGATCCTCTAATTTGAGCGTTTTAATCAATTGTCCCCCTATTACAAATCCAACGATTATAATCCCTTAATTTTTATGACATTTGAATTTTTGTGGTCATCCTCCAATTTTACATACGTGGTAATGATGATTTGAATTAAAAAATTATTTTTAATTGCCTATCATTGATGATTGGATAATTTATTATTTAATATTAATTAAAGTTGTTACCACTTATACAATCTTATCTATTGGAGTAAGGCTGAAAAGAAATGGCCCCATATTATCTTTTATAAAATTTAATTAATTAGTTTTAAAGTAATTGAATTAAAATTATTAATTTATTTTATAAAATAATATTAAATAATAAATTATCTAATCTTCAACAATAAACAATTAAAAATGATTTTTTTATTTTAATTATCATTAATACGAATGGAAAGGATCATAAAAATCTAAAAAATACCAAAATTAAAGAATCCTAATCGCTATTTTTATAATAGATGATTAATTAATTAAAAAGCTTAAATTAGAAGATTAAAAATACATTTAAACTTTAAATTAATTAAATAATTAATATATCAAATGTTACATCAAAATCATAAACGACGGGTCTAGATGCGAATCCATTCCAATTATATGGCTCTTATCTCACCCTTCAATTCCAATCCTAAGGTCAATATTGACAGCAAAATTCCCCATGGAACCCACTCAGTCAGATTCAAACTTATACTAAAACGCATGGCAAAACAAGCAAGCAACACTCTCTTTCTTGGGATCATGAATGCGAAGGATAAGTGAGGTTAAATCTGTAATCTACTCCATCTTACTTATAGACCTCCACGTCACACGGGTTCAAACCTTCACAGGCTGTCAAAACAAGTCAAAAACATCCGCGTGGAAATATCATCATCCTCTTCTCCACTCACAGCTGTCTCCTCCAAACGGGTATATAAATACCCCATCCAGTTTCCAATTCTATTCGTATTAAAATCCAAACTCACATTCAAATCTCCGTTCTCACTCCCTCTTTCTTTCGATAGAATCCTAAAAACTTAAAACAAACTCATTGAACCCTGAACATGGCTTCTAATTACAAACTTGCCATCACTTTCTCTGCAGTGCTGACCCTCCTTGTACTGTTACCCACACTCACAGTGGGAGAGCTTGTACAAGAACAACCTCTAGTTCTCAAATACCATAACGGTCAACTCCTTAAAGGACGCATCACCGTTAATCTCGTTTGGTACGGTACATTCACCCCCATCCAACGATCGATAATCGTCGATTTCATCAACTCTGTTAGCACCACCGGTGCTCCTCTTCCATCAGCCGCGGCATGGTGGAAAACCACCGAGAAATACAAGGTAGGATCCTCTGCGCTAGTCGTAGGGAAACAGTTCCTGCACCCTGCTTATACTCTCGGGAAGAATCTAAAAGGAAAGAATCTTCTTAGTTTAGCCACCAAGTTCAACGAACTTTCTTCCATCACCGTTGTTCTTACCGCCAAAGACGTCAACGTTGACGGTTTCTGTATGAGTCGCTGCGGGACCCACGGCTCTGTTCCAAGTGTCAGCAGTGGAGCAAGAACCCCTTACATATGGGTTGGAAACGCTGAGACACTATGTCCTGGACAGTGCGCGTGGCCTTTTCACCAGCCTATTTACGGGCCGCAATCACCGCCGCTGGTTGCACCTAATGGTGACGTAGGTGTTGACGGAATGATCATCAACTTAGCCACGCTTTTGGCCGGTACTGTCACGAATCCCTTTAACAACGGTTACTTCCAGGGGCCGGCGACAGCGCCGCTTGAAGCTGTTACGGCTTGTCCTGGGGTTTTCGGTAGTGGAGCTTACCCCGGTTATGCGGGTCGGGTTCTTGTTGATGGGACTACTGGTTCGAGCTATAATGCGCACGGTGCTAACGGGAGGAGGTACCTTCTGCCCGCAATGTGGGACCCGCAGACTTCAGCATGTAGGACTCTTGTATGAAGAGGGGACCGAAGAATAGCCACGTGTCGTGATATGGTGTACCGGGTTGTGTAGATATATATGGTGGGTTGATAAATACGAGAGCAGGTGAATGCTCCTTGGGACTGACTAGGAGGTGTGTGTTTAAGGCCTTCCCACACTTTTAGGCCTATATATTCATTTAATACATTGTTCCATCTTGTGTATTAATCCGTTCATAAAGCTTGTAAATGTACCGTAAACATTGAAGTTTATAAAAAAAGTTATATAATTTTATTTAAAAACTATGGCAGTGTGAATTTTTTTATTAGAGCTAATAATCTTTCATTTTCTGCCTAATGCTTTTCGCAACTTGCATCAAACTTGCAGCTGCTATTGTTATTTATACAAGAGTGAATATTAGAAGTTATATACTATACACCTAACCATGAGTACCATGTTTGAGGATCTGCAGGGCGGAATAGTGCATATGGTCCAAATCTTTTTATATTAAAATTATAATAAAATAAATAAAATAAAATATTTGTCAATAGTTAAATATGATCTTTATTTATTTTGATATTAATTGAATTGCGATTAATCTAAAGAGGAGCTCTATTAACCAACTATCTTAATATCTAATAAATATTTAATACATAATATTTAATTTTGTTAGCTTTAATCAAAAGAGACTTGCTTCTTTCACTCTTTAACATTCTCTAACAAACATAAAGAAGTTTGCAATAAATGATTCTGAGCTTCGTCTTCAAATCTAAAGAGTTTTGTTATTGTGTCAACAAGTTGAACATAAGTTAGTGGGCATTAAGACGGAGTGAAAGTTTTAGTCATCGTTGAATTATGTTTTAAAATTGTTTTAGTAGTAGATTTGATATTCTTTTAGTGTTTGCATATGAAATTTAGATGATTTTTTAGACTTTTTTTGGTAGTGTGAGGATTTCAATGTTTAAGAATGTTCCATGTGTCATATAATCTTTAGGAAAATGACTAACGTGTTTTGTAGGTTGGAGGAAGTAAAAGAAATGACCGAAAAAGGAACACGACAAATTTTCAGAAGGATTCACAAAATTTATTTTCAACACTTTTTATATCATGATGCACATGTGGTATTTTGATCATATCTAGAGTGTCATAACTCGGATTGACGTGGGACCAATAACATTTGAAAGTTACATTAAGGGCTACAACTCTTATGAAGACACCAAAGACTAACTCGACATTTTTTTCCTCTGGACATACACGTATCCATGCATGTTCAGATCCACCCTAAAAATTCAAATACCTATTTAAATGGAGGAAACCTAATTTTCTTAAATCATCTTGGTTTTTGACGGCAAGTTATAAATTAAGAGCGGTAGAACAAAATAGAAGCAAGATGAAACATCAACTTCAAGAGATTTCTCTATTGAAGACTTTTCATTTGTGATTATTACGTAATGTTGAACAATTTTATTATATATTTTATTGTTATTATGAGTAAATGAAACCCTCCAATGCTTTTGATGAGTCACTGTTCTTGAATTAGTTGGTTTCTCTGAATTGATCTTTGTAATAACTTATATTTTATTCTCTGCATGATTTATTTATTTATGATTTTACTGCTTTCTCTCTCGGTCAAATTGAGAGTGATCTATAGTTATCGGTTAGAAATGACTATCAACAATAACGTTTGATTGAAGTATTTTATATTAGATATCACCTACGACTATGGATACCGTATAAAAACTGATATGTTCTTGATAATCACATGCTTAAATTCATCTATAATTTACTATGGACATAAGAATTAATTTGAATGTTTAAAGGTTTATTCACTAGGGACTTAGGGATAAGCATCCATAAGAACTAGTAATATGTAAACATAAAATAAGTTGTTACAAGATCCATTTAAGATATTCAACAAACTCATGTTCCAACTCTCATTCCTATCCTAACATGTTCTTTTATTATTATTTTCTACTCTATTACATTTACTATACTTTTACTTTGTTGCAAAACAAACTCAAAGCCTCTAATTACCTTTTTGTTTAACTAAAATTAAATCGAACTCTAAAATATAATGCAGTCCTTAAGATCGATACTCTGGTAACTACTGGTATTACTAATTTGGTAGATTATTAGACTTGCTAATTTCCCGATCAAGTTTCTGGAGCCATTGTCGGAGACTAACAAATATTATAGAGTTCACGTTTTTATTTTAGTTGAACTTTTGTTGATCTGCGACTAAATTTTTTATTTTTATTTTGTATTATTGTTGTTTTAACTAACCTGTTTTAAACATTTGTATGCGAGGGGAACTTTAAACTAATTTTTTTTGACGTAGAAATCGAGAGAACCTTACGCACTCAACTCAGGAAAGCTTGGTTGCAGAGAATGGTAGAACAAGAGGATTTAAATTCTCGCCAATCAGATTCAAACTCATAAAAAGAAGTAGTTATGGCTGAAGATCCACCGACTCCTGAAATACTACTAGGAGACCATGGAAGAAGAAATGCAAAGGGAGGTAGACTGACGATAGTAAATCAACCAGTGAAGGTTCCTATATTTTAGTTACAACCTACAACCATCCGTCAACTTGAGATGAGGCCTTTTACAAAACAAAATTAATGAAGATGTAAACAAACATTTGCAAATATTTATGACAATGAGTACAACTTTGAAGATAGACGGGCTTACAGAAAAATGTAAAAAATTGAAAATGTTCCCTTTCACTCTAGCAGAGGATATTGAAGAATGGTTATACTCATTTCTAACATATAGCATCACAACTTGCGAAAAGATGGAAACAACTTTTCTGAATGAATATTTTCCTACTTCAGTTTTCCTCAAAAAACAATATGAAATCCTTAATTTCAAACAAAGGGAAGGTGAATCATTGGGTGATGCATATAAAAGATTAAAGAGGCTTCTGGTTGCATGTCTTACACATAGTATAGATCAAATAGAGAAGATGCAAATGTTTGTTAATGGGCTCTACAAATACACAACGTAAAAGAAAATCTAGAGGTGCCACGATGTATACCAAGGTGAAAAAAGCCCACGAAAATGATATTCGCCTCCCCATTTGAGTTTATGTTGCAATCGACAAGGCTTATGGTGAACATGCTAAGGATTTTACGGGTTATGTTGCGTTATAATATATAAGTAAAATGAGTATTTGGTTGGATATTTGGCACAACTTTGAAGATGATTTGAAAAATAGTTTATGCACCAATATTACAGTGTTTATGTTGAATTTTATGATTTGTTTTATGTATGATCATTTAATTTTTTGTTTAATATTGATAACGACTCTATTATGTAAACATAGGAAGTGTTTATTTTAGTCCAAATGATAGTATGGTGAAAAAGAAAGCGCTTACATATGTTATGAAACATATGCATGATATTGTCATCGGAGCATTACAAATGGATGGACCAAACGTAAGGTATTAACTTAATCCATATACATGTAATTTATGTATATTTATAAGTTAATGTTGTTGTTGTTAGCTTACCATAATTAACACTTTGTTCTAATTATAGATATTTAGCGATAAAACACCATCCTAAAAAGAAGATATAGATGATATCTGATCAATTTGGGCTGGTGTCTTCTTATCTTGCCATGAATTTCAACAACAATAGTTCTTTTGTTATAAGTTGAATTTGACATATAAAGGTTTTGACATCTTCATATGCAAAACTCTAACTTTTGTATTATGTGTTGATGACAACAATCTAAATTTGTACTTTAATTTTGCCACAATGTAAATTTGTAATTTTGTATAAAAAAGGAATATCAATTTTGTTATCTGTTTCTGATTTGGTATTATATGTTAATGTGGTATTCTGTAACAATTTTGTAGTTTTTGCATGTGTACAAAATGATACAGGCTTGACAGTAAGATGAGAATCAAAACAAATTTATATAGAAATAAAATTGATTAAGCCCCTCGGTTAAAATTCAAAAATTGACGTGCAAACATAAATTATCATCTCAGTTATTGAATAAAGTCGAAAGGTATGTTACGCGCACTAGTTAGTTTTTAAAATAAAAAATGTTGTTGCTAGGGATTGAACCATTGACCTTTTTCTTTTTAACCTTGGATTTATAAAAAATGAGGGGTAAAGTTCCCACTTTTCATATCACTCTTTGTTACCTTGACATTGTGACCGAAGTGAAATTCATTTAGCGTTTGATGTGACATGTGTTATTTGCAGTAGTGTATGAGTAGCTAAAACACTCTAATGCTAAGGATGAGTTATTGTTCTTGAATTAGTTGGTTTTTTTGAATTGATCTTTGTAATAACTTATGTTTTACTCTCTACATGATTTCTTTATTTCTAATTTTAGTTCTTTCTCTCTCGGTCAAATTTAGAATGATTTGTGTACTGTTAGGAAGAACGTTCAACACTAATGCCTGATTGAAGTATTTTATATTAGATACCATCTAGGACTAGGGATACCGTATATAAACTGATATGTTATTGATAACCACATGCTTAAATTCATCTATAATTTACTATGGACATATGAATTAATTTGAATGTTTAAAGGTTTATTCAGTAAGAACTTAAGAATAAACATCCTTAAGAACCAGAAATCTATAGAGATAAAATAAGTTGTTACAAGGCCCATTTAGGATATCGACGAACTCAAGTTCAAACTCTTTTATTCCAAGAATTCTCTTTTATAATTATTTTCTACCCTATTAAATTTACTCTACTTTTACTCCGTTGAAAATAAAACAAACTCAAAATCCACAATTACCTTTTTGTTTAACTAAAATCAAACCTAACTCTAAAATGTAACGCAGTCCTCGAGATCGATACTCCGATAACTACCAGTATTACTACTTGGGCAAATTAATACACTTTCTAATTTACCTATCTGTGAATGTTGTAGTGCAAATAGAAAGTGGAATATTATCGTATCTACAAAGATTGGTTCTATTTTAAATATTGTTCAACTGTTTTTGTGATTCTAAGAAGAAGATTGTTTATAGTTGTTTGGTTATAGAAAATTGTGAGATATTGGATCG